CTTCAGAGAGGAGCAAGGGAATAGACTTGAAACGCCTCTGGCGGGTCAAGGCAGCTACAAGAGTTGTGTATGTTATAAGAGTTGGCCTGTGTCCTTCTTCTGCTAAACTTTTGAAAATGGATTGGGCTTCATGTGGCTTCCTTCTTGCAATTAGATTATTCATCAGTTTTGTTCTTGAACGAACTACTTGGCAACTGGTCTTGCCCAAACATACAAGGCAATGGGATTGAATTCCTGAATCTACCAGAGTTGAGTCCTTCTTTTGCGAATGTGGTTCCTAAGTAGTTCACAATGATCAGAATTAGACCATTACCATGTTTAACCACAAATGCAGGCATAAACTATGCCTAAAATTCAAAGAATCCTAAGTGGGAATAATCTAAATTGAACTCAACTAAACTGATATTTACTTCAACAAAGGCCACTGAAAGAACAATTCATTGTCAGCCTAATTAGTAGAAGTTGTTCAGTTAAGATTGAGGAAGAAACAGAATGCACATTGAACAATAAACTTAAGTTGCAAGATCAAGCAAACTGACTACTTGCTAATACGATACCCTGAGTGAAGATGATTTGTTGCCTCCAATCGTTACCTCTTGGCGTCCACCCATGAGCTCCTGTCAGCACCAAATGCCCCCAATTCTTCTCCACGGGCTCCTCAATTTTTGAACTAACTTCCTTGATCAAATTCAGATTTTGGCTTCCAGTCCATACCAAAGTGTTTGCTTTCACCAAAGGTTCAGACTTGAGGGACAGTTAGACATTCATTTCCTTCTAGATGGAACCTGTAAAGGATGTTCGAATATGCTTGATCAAATATCTCCTGAGGATGTTTAACATTTAAACCAACGAAGGGGAAGCCTATATGTAAGTCACATGCATCTCATCTGCTAATACAGTTATGAGTTATATAGGTAGATTGATTGGGAATCCAAATATAGTTCGAATATATGAGCAATAGATAGATAACGCAGAGATTAAAGGGCCCTCTATAGTGATAAGGGATGCATCATATCAAAAGAAATGATAAGGGAACACATATTCAGAGGGAAGAAGTCAGTAATTTCTTTCACTAGAAATCTTATACACCCTAGCAACAACAAGATTAGGCAAAATGCAAAGCAGATAATAAGCAACACCACAGATTTTGATGCAAAGCAGAATGGGAGTCGTTCCAAGATAGTGGAAAACAGAACTGAGGTAACCACCATTCATCCATATCCCATTGCTGGCAGAGAAGAGCAACAGTACCAAACATCCAGGCAGCAACAATAACCATTTTCATGAAATAAAAGTCTTGACTGGAGTACTAAAAAACCCAAATTTATGCAGCAAAAGAAAAACAACAATGGGGTCCAAACAACTGACTGTTCTTGATCTTGAATTAACTCTCGCACTAAGAAACCAGAAACTGATATGATTTCTAGTCAGGGAAACATTCAAACATCCCAACCCACATATTTCAAGAATCAAATTTTCAAACAAAATGGGTTTTGGAAACCATCAACAGCTGCCAAATATAAATCAATGCGAAAAAATAAACAATTTGAGCTCAAAACAGCATTAAGTTCAGTAAACTCAAGCAACAAAGTTAAGCAAAAATTATATAAATCAGAAATCCCAAAAACTAAAGAAAGCTGTTTTGGGGGGGAGGAGGGGCTTATACCTGTTGAGCTGACAGTGGCAGAGCTTGGAAAGAGAGGTGGAGTTGCATGGTTGGTTGCCGAGTTGTGCATGTAAAAGTGGAAGGGGTGCTATTGTAGTCTAGCGGGGTGTGTGTGTTTGTGTTGTGTCATCCACTGGAGATTCTTATCCACAAATATTTGTAGTGAAAATTCTGGAATTTTTTTTTGAGGCTGTTAATTGTAGGAGACAAAATAAGTATATTATTTTGTGGTCAAAAATTAGAAGACCACAATTTTTTCTTTTTTCTTTTTTCTTTTTGTACCTAAAAGTATCCTTTTAAATTAATGGTAAGAGAAGTAGGAGGAGCTAATTGATGTAAAACTATTCTCTTCCATCATGTACCACTTGAATTGAAACTACGTGGTCACTTACAATTGTCTATTTTGCAAGATTCTTCCTACTCTTTGGAAGATTTTTATTAAGAACAGCAACAAAAAGAAAAAGAGAACTTTCGCAACCAAAAAAAATCAAAAGAGAAAGAAAAAGAGAAAAGAAACCAAGAGAAAGATTGACAATTAACTTAAGTCAAAATCAATGCTCGGCGGACCAAAGAAAAATAACAATATTTGAGTGAAAAGAATAAGTCTTTAATTATATAAACTTGGCCAATGTGGGTCTGGTCGAGTAAAAGTGGGTTTTGATTTATAGACTAAAGATTAAGGTTTGAATTTCAATAACATCTTAATTACGTGTGTGTGAAAAACCTTCCTCTATAATTTGGTCAAACCTATATTAACTTGCTACTACAAGTACAAATGGGACAAAATTAGGATGGAAAAGATGCATAAATAAATCTAAATCAAAACAAACTCTCCAAGAGCAGTTTGTAAAATCAAGAAAATGAGATTAGATTATTATCAGGCTCCGTACCAACTTGTTCATAAATAGGACCATTGCGTTCTCGCAGTTTTTAGCTTCAAGCCTCCAACTTCCTCTACCATCCCTCTCTCCGCCTCTCACAAACGTAGAGACATAAAATGATGCTGAAGCTGTGGAAATGGTACCAGAACTGCCTCTCTTTTCACCCACTGAAGACTCAGGTCATCAGCTCCGGCGTCCTCTGGGGCGTTGGCGACATTGCTGCCCAATACATCACTCACTCCAACGCTAGAAAGCGTCTTCAACTTTCTGTGAGTAACCCATTACAAAACCTAATCTTCTCTTACTTCAATATGGTTCTTTTATTTCTTATACCGGATTCTGTAATTTCATTCCTTCAATTGAATTTCTTATTTTCGGGAACTGGGTAGCTGTAAATGTCTCTTTTTGAGTTGGGTTTTCGAAACGGCCACACACAAACAAAAAAACAAAAAAAAAAACTTGGGTTCGTCTGCATAGCATAGTAGCCTTTTAGAGCCTCTGAAGTTCCCCTTTTTTATTCTTTCTGAATTTGATACCTTTTTTTTGTTTAAAATCATGAACCTTTTCTTCAGAATTAGATACCATTGACTCTGGGTCCATTACGACGTCTTATAGAACTGAATACGTTATACAGCTTTTGAAGGTATGATTTATCATCCACAATAAGGATACTACAGATAATGGAATCAACTCCTAAAATGATGGTAGGGGAATGATGGCTTAATGGTCAAGTTCTATGTCTATCAAAGAGATGAATGCCATTACAGAAAATGTGTGTCATCACAACTGGAGCTGATAGTTCCATGACATGCTTATCTACTACCATTTGCAAATGAGACTCTCATTTTTAGAAATGCATCATAGGTCTATCCATGCTATTTGCTCACGCTTGCCATTGGTAGTGATTTGATTTATCACTAAATAGTGGAACCTTGTTTCATTCATTTTTCTGGTCAGCGGAAGGTTTATGGGGTACTTATTTCTTTCATGAACAAGTCTGCGTCAATAAATGGAGGGGGGTTTTATTTTTTTTGTGGAGTTTTTACTCTTTCCTACGGTTCGTCATATAGACAAAAAAGGCTTTGACTGATTTCATATTTGCAGGTTGATGGTTTAGAGGAACTAATAAATGCTCCTTTACATTTGTGTATATGTTGTTTGGAAGTCAAGGAACTACTTTTATCATGTGCAGGAAATAAATTTTCAGTTTCCATAACTAGTCTTTCAAAATGAAAAATTAACTGAGGAGTTCAGGTACCACTGAAATAGATTCTTCTGTGTGTGTGTGTGTGTGTGTGTGTGTGTGGTAATGTCAGTGCATGTGTGAGCATGAGTATGTGTTTCCAGTATAATAGCTCCTTTATCTTGCTTTTTAGTGTAGTGTATCTAACCAAGCCTTGATGCCCATTTTTCCGTCCACCTATTTGTTACCTCAAACTTTGTAAGTGTTGAACCTACGCTAAAGAATGCAGTTGAACTTTGGAGCAGAACCTGATTGATTTTGAATTCAAGTCATTGTTGGTGTTTAGGATTTGCTTCAGTTCACGTCATTGTTTTTTTGGTTGAACAAGTCATTTTTTTTGTTTTTTTGTTTTGGAGAAGCAGTATTAGTGTTTTTTTATCACCAACCACTTTCTATGCACATATATGATGATATTTTATATTTCCTATTTTCCTATAGCAGGATACAGACGCAGACTTCAAAGTTAACTGGAAACGCGTAGCTATAACAAGCACGTTTGGGTTTGCCTTTGTTGGACCAGTTGGCCATTTCTGGTTTGTTTTACCTATCCTGTTTCTTTTCCTTCAGGTTGCCTGGTCTGATCTGTCTGCCAACTGTATGATAGAAAAAATAAAAATAAAAAGTATAACATTGCATGTTTATAGGTACGAAGGCTTGGACAAATTTATAAAGCTGAAGCTTCACCTACAACCTAAGTCAGCGCGGTTTGTTGCTGCTAAAGTGGCAATGGATGGCCTTATCTTTGGCCCTTTGGATTTGTTGGTGTTTTTCACTTACATGGGATTTTCCACTGGCAAGAATTCTGTTCAAGTGAAGGAAGGTTTGAAGAGAGATTTCCTGCCAGCCCTTGCTTTGGAGGGTGGTGTGTGGCCAATTGTTCAGATTGCAAATTTCCGATATGTTCCTGTGAGGTACCAACTCCTCTATGTTAATGTCTTCTGCCTGTTGGACAGTGCATTTTTGTCATGGGTTGAGCAACAAAAGGATGCTGCTTGGAAGCAGTGGTTCACATCTTTTACTTCTTTTAAGGAAGGAGGAGGTCAGGGAAGATTATGATTATCTTCTTCCCCACTTTTGTATTCTTTCTTTCTCTTTCGTTTTACAGTACTGCAAATGGGGGGGGAAAAAGGCATGTGTTTAGGACACAGAGAATCATGAGCCCTCCTTAGACTACCAACCTGCGTTTTCAATGTTGGGGTTATGGTAGTGGTGTAATTGTTTTCCAGTTGTATGTGTTTAGTAACATTTATAAAGCGAAATGAAAAACACAGTTTAAATTTTGAATTTGATACGCCATTTTTCATGGATATCTAAATGGTCTTTGACATTTCTGCTCAAGGCCAACCGTGTAATGAGAGATGCCTCATGTCACAAGCACCATGAACCGGACCATGAGCTTCGAAATTATAGTTCATGCTGATGGTTATCTGGAAGATGAACTGAATAATGTGGTGCTTTAAAAACAACTTTGCAGTAGACAACCTCAATATTAGCATTATACACGATGTTTTCCGTACTGAAAGTTTGGGGTTTGAAGCTGGGTTTTTTTTTTTGGGTGGGTCAAGAAGCTGGGTTCAATACAGGTAACCTCGGTTGCAAACTGCAACATAATCTAAAGACAGTACAAAATTGTGCGAGCATCCAGGTTGTAGAGAATGGGTGGACCCGCTGATTCGAAACTATGGCGACTAGATGAACGTACTATGACCTCCGCCGAGTGGTACTTTTGGCTTGAATGTTGCAGATACCATTAAGCATGGGCAGTGTTTGAAGCCAATGCTCTGAAAGGCAAAATGAGGATTGTTACTTTTCAGGAAAAAAGGTTAGATAACTAGAGACCACAATATCCGATTTGAATATACAAAAACTTACTGGGATGCTTAGCAGTAGTCCTTGACTATTCACTAGGACAGGCAGGCCTCTTCTTGCAGCCAGAGGGATAGACTTCAGGGATACAAGGGCTCTTTGTGCTGAGAGCCTTGCATAATCTAGACATCCGTTTGTCTTCTCTTCTGTTTGCTCTACCCTACTATCTAAAGAATGTCTCTGTTCTTGAAAGTTTTCTGAAGTTCGACTCTTCGACAAGTTGGCAAGATACAGCCAATCTGGTTCACTCATGTTCCGCACCTCAACCATCATGTCATGACCAAATACACAAGATCTGCAACAGCCCCGACTTTGTCCCTCCGAAACTCCATCGCTATTAGCTTCCTCAGAAGTTGCATTTTCAGTAACTTCCTCACTCAGTTTCCATGTGACAAAGAACCGGTTCATGAAGCAACATATTTGCCCAGGGTGAAGAGGTTCACTCCTTGATGTACTAACAGATTTGACTCCATGCTCTGACTTGTAGTCAGCTGCGACTTTGCTCTTAGACTTGAAATTCTGAATCTCTTCCTTCTGTAATAAAAGAATATTTGAAAGGGTTGACTCACTAAGCATACCAAGATTCCTGGCTCCAGTTAGAACTGATTCAGAAGTTCCTTCCAAGAAATGCACATCTGATGCATCTGGAATTAAGGAATCTGCATATGATTTGCCATCTGCTATAATTTTCACAATCTCATCTGAAGTACAGTTTTCCTGTTCTGCCTGAAAATGTAGATGGGATGATTCCATTTTTGAAGGTAGAGGACAATCGACAGAAGAACAAACTAGAGCTTTCATGCCTCTAGACCCAGGAGCTGGAGAAAGGTAGCAGCCAGCTGCTGTAAGGGAGGTCTGCATGATTGGAAAAACAGAACGATAATTCAATGAAACTATAAGTAATACCAAATACAGCTATTTGGACTTTGAAAAGGCTAACTTTTCATGTTACAGTTGTATTCATACCTTGCACGGTAAAGTATGTGTGTAGTCCAAAAGCAATTTTGAAGTACTACCTCTAATTGGCCTGTGCCTTTGTGAGATGAACTGCAAACAGAATGAATCTCAGCATAAACATAATTCATCCAAAAGATATACGTTTCTGAGAAAAATAACTATAACGTCAAACAACTTGTATGGTAATAATTGTAGTACCTTCAAAACCAAGGCAATAAACTTTGACAGGCAAATGTCCTCGATTTTTGATTCATTAAGAATCTCTAAATCAATAACAGCATATCCCAGCTGCAGGCACAATACCAAATGAAATGTCTTAAACATATTCAGAAATCTTTACACTATAGTCAAACGAGAAGTTGGCTATAATAGTTATCAGTTATCAGAAACAATTAAAAGGTATGGACACTCAAATGATGCTTACATCCATAACAGTCACTGCTTTGCTTATCAAATTACCACAAATATAATCGATGTATATGCGTGTTTTGCGACAGGCAGAAATAACTGCTTGTAGCTCCAACTTGAATGCACCTAGAAAAAGAAAAAGAAAACACATTGGTAGTCTGTAAATGTTATGGCAGTGTTTGCAAACAAGAAAAATGGCAATAACATTTTTGCATAGGGGAACTATACGTATAGCACTACTACGTAGTTAACAAAACATGCAAGAGAAGATAAAAGCCTTTACCACCCAATTATAAGGACTAAACTACAACAATTGAAATTATGTTTAAAACTCACTTGATGATGAGTCCCTTAGAGACATTCGAATTCTATTACGAGCATATAACAGGCTTTGATTCGTTGGGTCTTCCACCCAGACCTGATTACTTCTTTCACATATCTAGAAAAATTATGAAATAAATTAACTCAGATTGGTTCCAAATACAATTTTTTTTTTTTAAACACACATTTAACAGATACTACTCAGCTCCATTACACTAACCTCGTACATATCTTCTTTTGAAAGATCCAGGAGTGGTCGCACAACAAGGATACCGTAGTTTCCCGAAACTTCAGCATAGGAATGGGTATGCGTGGAGAAAATTTGAGACGTAAAAGGCATACCAGCAAGTCCAAGGACACCGCTATTACGAGATAGTCTGAGCACAAATAACTCAGCCTGCATTGGGTCTTAGCAATCATTATATATCTAGCATCTGTAACGAGCCTGGAAAGTTTAAATCAATACAGAAGAAATAATACCATAATCCTTATAAATAAGCTGATACTTTCTTTCAGTTTTGTGATTACAAATATAAAGACTCTTTCATGTCTGGAAATGGATTGGCCTCTTTTTCGAAACAACTAATTTGTACATGCCTCACACATAACACACAGATATACAGCTGCAAAATGAAAGAAAGTTAAATTAAATGATTGTTGGACAGACCTGGTCATCAGCATGATGTGCAATAAGTAACACACCAATCCGGTTCTGGATGCAAATCTTCTGAAATATTTCATACCTGACATTCAAACCCAATTTAAACAAATTGCAAATGAAATAATGTACATCACCCAATTGAACCATATATGTAATGAACCAGTTATCAATATTCAAAAACAGAAGTAACATCCCCAGTAGTAGGCATTAGGGACTTTGGAAAATGAGAAGTAACCACCTCATGTCACGAGCTGCTTCTTGCAAGTGACCTTGTTTCGGATGACCATCCGGCCAATCACAACGGGCAATATGACTTCTGATTCCTACACAAAGTTCATATTGGCTTATCTACTTCCAGTCAAGTCTTAAACTGAAATTACTATGTTAAGCCGAAGGCACCGAAACTATATATCAGGAGCAACACCGAAAAGTACCCATTTTAGAGACCCGATTAGAAACAGTGTTGGCTTCTTCTTTGCTCTCTGCACGCAGCCCATGGTCGACAATTATTGCCAAAAGCCCGTCAATGAAGCCACAACCATCACATTTCGCATCAAAGTCTTGAGCTTTCCAGTGGGCGGTCAAAACACATAGAGCCATACTGTCTGGACCTCCAGAGACCCCAATAGCTACATACAAAGCAGAAAACAAGCATCACAATCTCACTGGGATTTAATTGAACTCTCCAAGCTCATACAATACAACCAAAGAAAATGAAAAGATAAACAACACCCTTTTTGTTTTTCAAAAAGAAGAAAAATTTAGAGAGCAAAAGAAGCGAAATTAAGCCCATAAAATGAAAAACAAGATAAAGTAAGAATTGACCAATATGTTAACATGAAAAGAAAAACACAGAAAAGTTGCAGAGAAGAAGAGGAAGAAAGTGAGTACAGACCGACTCGGTGGTGGGGCTTGAGGCCAGCCATGGCCATTCGTCTAGAGAAAGCTTCCTTGTACTTGGCCATGTCGACTGCGACGACTGGGGCTTGGGTGGACGAGCACTTGCAGGAAACTTGACGGGACATGAATGGGAGTTTCCATGTTGTTAGGGGTATTTTTGGAATGGCGAAAAGTAAGGTTTGGGTACTGGTTTGCGACGGTAAGATTACCCCTCGCGCCATTTCCAAGCTTCAAGCTTTGAGTGGATTGCTCTGTTTTTAACTGATAGCGTTGAGATGGAGAAGGCATTATACAGAGCCGTTGTCGTACGAACAAAACGCAGCGTTTAACCTAACAAATGAAAGCAACAAAATGCAATAAAAAACTTTTTGTCCCAATGGTTTACCGGTTTTACCACTTTAATCCCCGTATTTTCAATTTTAACCTTACAGTTTTGGATGAGGGAAATAAACTTGAGATTTTAACAAAAGTCAGAATTTGTAAATTGACATGATCCAATTCCCATGTTTGGATTTTTTTAAAAACATAGAAATTTAAAGATTTAGCGTAAGAAAAAACATGAATTTTGGAGGTCATAAATTTCAACTTTAAATTCCATCTAAAAGTCATCATTTCTAAAATTTCAAGAGAGATTGAGTTTTTTTTATAAAAAAAAACTTTACAAATAAAGGTTAAATTCTTTATTTAAATCTGTTACCCAAACAAGAAACTTTACAAATTCTAAAACATTGATTTCCTTCATTTTAAATTTCATCATTTATGAATTCCTTTGTACTTTTAAATTTTCTCATCAAAACACATTGTTATAGTTTTTAATTAGACACAATTTTGAAATTAGGGTTTAGAAAAAATTTGTGTCTCTAGGTTCAAATTTAAATGTATTGAGAGACACGTGGTCAAAACGTAACTAAATTAGGAAGAATTTGATAGAAATTGAAATGCTTCGAGTTAAAAATTACAAAAATAAAATTAACTAAATTGACCAAAGTGATAAATTGGCAATTTTTATTTTTATTTTTGTCAAAAGTAAACCAACAAATTAAGAGCATCTCCAAAACCAACAAATTAAGAGCATCTCCAACAAACTCTTTAACCACTTTGAAATTCTAAAATAGGTGAGCCATATCATAAAAACTCTCTCCAACAATCTCTTCAACCTTACTCATCGAAGCTGCAACATCTTTCTCTCTCTTCATGACTGGTAAGTTGACTTTGGCTCTTCAAACATTTTATTTTATTTTGGAAAAATAAAACCTACCTTGAAAATGTTATAAACATGTTTTTTTTTTCTTTTCACATAATAAATTCATAGACATTTTTCATATTTTTCATTCTTTTCCATTATATTGCATTAACTGAATTGAAGAGTATATTGGAGCAAAAATTATTCAAGTAGCAAATAAGGCTTTTCAAATTGGTATATTTTTGCTCACCACTTTAACCCAAGGTGTATCCTCACCACCCTTCTCAACACTTGACACGTGTTCCTTGGCATAACTATAGTTAACTCTTTACTTTGTATTTATACAACCATGGTTATGTAAATATACACATGTCAAATGTTAAAAATAGTGGTAAGGGTACACCTTGGGTTAAAGTGGTGAGCAAAAATACTCCCCTTTTCAAATTGTCACGTAAGTCAACAAACTTCAATTTGACGAATTTTATTTGTTACTATTGTTGAAGATGCTCTAACATAGAAACTCGGCTAGAGAAAATAAACTGCAGGTACAAATTGGACCGGGCATAGAAACTCGGGTTGTGAAAATATTCGATGGGCCAGAGGGCTTTAACAAGATTTAAAATTATTTATTTATTTTTTTACTATTTTATAAAATTAAAATCTGATAAATTTGAGCCAAAAAAAAGACAAGTTTTTTTTTAAATTTTTTTAATAGAGAATAAAAGACAAGTCAGCCAAAATAGAAAGCAAGACAAGTTAAACTGAAAGATTAAACAGTGCTTCTCCGGACCGACCCGCATTTTCTCCGATGCGAGAGCTTTCCCGCCAAATCAATGAAGCGTCAACGCCAATCTTTTTAGCTCCGTCGTCGCCATGACCACTTCTCCTCGTACCTCCATTCCATCGCTTTCCCTCGTCTTCATCTTCATCTCCATCTGTGTCTCGATCTCCATCTCTCTCCTCCATTTCAAGACCCAAATTTCCCCAACCCTAGACCTAAACCGTGGTACGCTAAATTCCTCTCATCCTCAAACCAACCGCCAAAACTACGTCGTTCGATTTGCCGAATACAAAAGGGCGGAAGAGCACCGTGAGTATTTGAAATTGAGTGTTCGATCCGATGGATGGGATTGGATCGAGAGGAACAACCCGGCCAAGAAGTACCCTACAGATTTTGGATTGGTTTGGATTGAAGACTCGGCGAAAGAAATAGTAGTTTCGGAAATTGGGAAGTTGGGGCTGGTGAAGGATGTCAATGCGGATATGAGGTATGGGAGGGGTTTGCTTGCAGAGGAAAAAAGAGACAAAGTTGGGGCTTTTGTCGATGGAAAGAAGCGGCCGGGGAAAATTTTAACGGCGATGTCCTTTAGCGAAGCCGGCGGCGATACACATTTTACGGCCACAAGTAATTATTCGATTAGCTGGAGAAGGCAGCTCATGGCTCAGGTGGGTTTTGGTGCATTTATATGAAACCAAAAGAGCTTCTTGCGCAATTCATGCGTTTCTGTTTTTATGACCAGAAATTGTTTCTTGATTTCCATTTCAATTGAGGAACAGGAAGGAGATTGAAGTTGGGATTCGTATATTTTTCTATGGGTGTTAATCCTATTTTGTGGGAAAGGTTTATCTTGGCTAAGCTACAAGTCCTTCCTAATTGGGTTTAACTTGATAATGGCGGAACGTATTTAAGACTATATCACTTCACTTTGTTTTTCTCAATAAATCCAAGATAATGTGGAGAAGCCCTCCCTGTTTTTTTTTTTTTGGTGTGTGTGTGTCTCAAATACTGGCCATTTTGAAATTAAATTTGGAGAAAATTCCAGCAGTGTTCCTTCTTTTTTTGGTTTGTTTTGATTCTTGAAAAATTCCTTGGTGTTTATTTTTAATTAACTCTCTTAATTTAATTCTTGCAGAAATCTCAAGTTACTTCATTATTTGGAGCGGATTTTCTCTGGGAAAAGGGGTATACTGGTACAAAAGTCAAAATGGCCATATTTGACACTGGCATTCGAGCTAATCACCCACATTTTCGTAATATTAAGGTACTGTTTTCTGGGAAAAGAGGCTCGAGTCTTTTCCCCTTGTGGGTGTTTGTAGTCAGAGTTAATCACTGTTATTTGCCTTATAAATACATGTCTGTTTGCTTATAAAAATAAAAGTAAAAATCTCGGTGCTATGCCGGTTTTCAATTTTGAGCAATTATGCAGGAGCGCACAAACTGGACCAATGAAGATACATTAAACGACAATCTTGGACATGGGACATTTGTTGCTGGTGTTATTGCTGGTGTAGATGCAGAGTGTCTCGGTTTTGCTCCTGATACAGAGATTTATGCTTTTCGTGTGTTTACAGATGCACAGGTAATGACATCGGACATTGGAAGATTTATTGACATGGCATTATGACTAGAATGATATAGATTATCATTTTCGAAAGAAAGTCTTTGAAAGCAAGATTTAGAGAACTTTGTATTCAAGCCATGGTTTTAAATACTTTGCTTCGTGGCGTTTCATTTGGTTAATCAAATTTAGCAAGATTATGAGAAGCTTGTGTTCAGCTTATTGCAGGTATCATACACATCATGGTTCCTTGACGCATTCAACTATGCCATTGCAACCAATATGGACGTGTTAAATCTAAGTATAGGTGGACCTGATTACTTGGACCTCCCATTTGTAGAGAAGGTAAGGCTCCTTGGTTAATTTTCTGTATTTCACAAAGAACCTTTTAGTGTGGTGGTTTGGACCTGTATCAACTTGTAGATTCTGCATTGAAACACGTGTGGGCATATATCATACATGTTGTGCTATTGAAGTGTGGAACTTAAATTTGTGCTCCATTTGCTCACAGGTTTGGGAAATAACTGCAAACAATATAATTATGGTTTCGGCAATTGGAAATGATGGACCGCTTTATGGAACTCTAAACAATCCAGCAGACCAAAGTGATGTCATTGGTGTTGGTGGCATTGACTACAGTGATCACATTGCTTCTTTTTCTTCACGTGGCATGAGTACTTGGGAGATGCCTCATGGGTAATCTAATATATTTTCCTTCATACCACTTATTGCGACTCTTATCTTCCTTTCCCATGGTTATGCCTTTTTTAAGAGATTAATAGTGCTGTATATTTTCAAGTGTTTGGTGCTCTGATCTTTACAAGGTTTTTAAGTGATCTTAAGGCATTCAATCCTTTGTTGTTCCTTGGGCCGTACAAGCTATGTTAATGTTAACTATATAAGTTTTCTCTGCACAGTTATGGTCGGGTGAAGCCGGATGTAGTCGCATATGGACGGGACATTATGGGATCTAGGATCAGTACTGGCTGTAAAAGCTTATCTGGCACTAGTGTGGCAAGTCCTGTGGTTGCTGGTATGGTATGTCTGCTTGTGAGTGTTATCCCTGAGAGCAGTAGGAAGGACACTTTAAATCCGGCAAGCATGAAACAAGCATTGGTTGAGGGTGCTGCGAAGCTTTCTGGTCCGAATATGTATGAGCAAGGTGCAGGCAGGGTCGATCTGTAAGTTCTCCTGATTTATAGGCCCTTTACTTTTTTGTACAGATCTCATTTGCGGTTATTCTTACTGTTCAGCGTTGGTACTACTGGTTTTCAGTTTTAAGTTTTGACTTTTTGGTCAGGTTAGAATCATATGAAATCCTTAAGAGTTACAAACCTCGTGCCAGCATCTTCCCAAGTACTCTCGATTATACAGATTGCCCTTACTCCTGGCCCTTCTGTCGTCAGCCGCTTTATGCAGGTGCCATGCCTGTTATCTTTAATGCTACCATTCTAAATGGGATGGGTGTAATCGGCTACGTTGAAAGTCCACCCACATGGCATCCTTTAGATGAAGTAGGGAATCTTCTAAGCATTCACTTTACTTATTCTGAAGTTATCTGGCCTTGGACTGGTTATTTAGCGCTTCACATGCAAATTAAGGAAGAAGGTGCACAATTTTCTGGAGAGATTGGAGGCAATGTTACTCTTAGGGTATACAGTCCTCCAGCTCAAGGAGAGAAGGATATTAGGATTAGTACTTGTGTGCTTCAGTTGAAATTGAAGGTTGTCCCTACTCCACC